TGATTTTTTTTGCAATTTCTAAAATAGCCATAAGAATTTATTGACTTTTTGCACCTTTGGCTTTTAGAATTCACTTTGCACCTTTTTTCAATATCAGGTTATGTGTCATGAACTTTACTTTTTTCCGTATCTGCTACAACTTCTGTCTTCCAACTTCCAACTTTTTCAAGTTGAAGCCTACAAAACTGTAAGAACTAGATATTCACTTCGTCAGACGAGAAGTACAAATTAGGGGAAAAACATTAGCTAACAATGCTGCTTCATAAAATTGGTCCCTCAAAGCACGACGAAACATTACAAAGGTGCATCAGAAGGTCAATTTGAACAGTAAATATTTGCCGCTAGGCGATCTTCCACCGCATTTGATATCGTCGCCCTCTGATAGGTAGCCAGCAACTGGACGATTGCCAACCGCTTCGTAATTAGGAACCAAGAAAAAAAGAGGGATTCCATTTAGCGTTAAAATCTTTTCTATTTTCGGTATTGAATCCATGGCTTTTAGAATTCAGTAGATGTTGTAAGGAAAGAGGGCTTTCTGGGTGACCTTTAGAGCAGTTGTGATGTTCATTTTTTTCTGGCGTTGTTGGAAGACTTATATATTTTATTTGCTCTTTTTACCATAGAAATTTATGCCTGTAGTTTTCAAGCAAAAATTTACTGAATTGAAGCTCGTACGCAGAATGCAGAGGAGACTGTGTATATACAGCAGTCTAGAACAAACTGTGCTTTAAAAAAAGCTTTCTTTCAAAAATACTTTAGAGGCCGTTTGGAGATGTAAAGTGACGTCCTTAATTAACTCAAGTTTTTGGCCTTGCTTTTTTTTAGATTAAATGTGATTTGTGGTTTTTAAGACTCAAATTGTATTGCTGTTCTTTTTTTTTTACTTTCGAGAAACAAGGAGAGATGTGGTAATTTATCGAGTCAATCAGATTTCAAATTGTTTCATACGTTCTCCTTTGGGGATATTTTCTTCTCCTTTTTTTTCTTATTTGCGCCATAATTTATATTTGCTTTTAACAGAAATTGTTATTGTTATCTGTCATCTTGTGTCGCGATGACCGATTCATCAAATAATCAGGCGGAAAGAAAACGCTCTATCTATTTCTGGACAGAGCATGAGTCTCAAGAGTGGTTGAAAAAACGCAGGCCGAAATTAGCCGTAAAGTACGGAGATATATTTATTAAAAATATGATTAAAGGTTGGCTTCAAAATGTTTCATACAAGCACTTTCATTACTATTCTCGTTTGTGGTACCCATATCAAATTATGCTTTCTCTTGTCTAAATTTTCGTTCATTACATATTAGCTATTTGACTGGGCTATGTTATCTGCCTTGATTTTTTCTGGCTTTTTAGGACTTAGCTTTGAACTGGGTTTTCCGCATTTATATCTTTTCCTTGCATAAAAAATTTTGGTGACTTTTGGTTTGATGAATGTGCGAAACATTTTTTAGCAGCAGCTTCGGAAATTTTTTGAATTTTTAAAACCAGGTTTATATAAGTTTTTCACTCGGAACTTTGAATTTTTATGAGCGTTATTCTTTCAACCCAAAAGTATCTGCCTGGTTAGAGTTTCTCGGTAATTTGCATAAAGTTGATAAACGTATTTTGTGAAGTAGCTGAGAATCTTTTAGAGGGAGTTTCCCGGAAAATCTGCTGATATTTATGGTTGTTTAATTATTCTGTTCTTGACTTTATGCTAATGTTCTTCTTTATTGATTATATGCAATAAGTCTAAAAGTTTTCCAAATTTTTTTCTCGCTGCTTGACACCCAAATATGTTGGCCAAGAAGAATCGTTTTTAAAGTAGTGGTCGAAATCTGTATTGGCTTTGTGGATTATTTCAAGCGTAGTTAGGTTTGTGTCTTAGCAGTGCCAGTGTGTTATTGTCAGTTCTTACTGCTTGATGAAAACAAGTTATAAAATTTGCTGATTTAAGTCTTACCTCTATACAGAAACGAGCTTGAGAAGTACGGGCTAAATTCTATTTTATTTATTGACAACATACGAGGTTTTTGCGGCTGAAATAAAGCAAGAATTAACGTTTTATGACACGAAAGTGCAAGTTAGCGGAAAAAAGTTTTTCTGTAACTACATTGAGAAACAGAAAAATTATTTTTTGTTTCTAGAAAAAGTCGTCCAGTAGGACTGAAAAAAAAAAAGGTTTTAGCAATTAATTTGTCTTACAATTGCTATTTTGCATATGCTGTGCAACAAAAAATTTAAAGATTCCAACTTATGCGAAATCTCAAAGCAGTTCGAAAGAATTGAAGCGATATTCGAAATTACAGCAGATGAATGAAGCAGATTTAGAAAACTTTTTATGTATGGATTGAAGAGAAAATTAAGAGGAAGAAACTTAGACTGGACACCATGAACTAGAATAGCTCTACAATCCCATTTATGAGTGATTAAACTTGTGACATTAATTAACATTTCCTTTACTTTTTTCTGACAGGTCGAGTTCTTATCGACTTAAATGATCGAGATCTGGAAAAAATTGGTATTAGCAATCGTGATGAAAGGCAAGACTTTAATTTCCAGCTCAAATTGTAATTATGAAAATATTTTTCTATAGAGTCGTTTTTAAAAATTGGTTTGAGTGCAGCTGGTTGTTGCTAACTTCCGGATGATTTTTTCTCTTTAAGGCAAGTCTTACTGCATGAGATACAAAAAGAAAAGCTACACTCTTACCTAAAGGAATTGACGGAACTGTCGAGGACTTAGCACTGGTGATGTTATTTCGCCTAAGTTTTTGTACAAGCGAATATTCTTGTCGAAACGCTATGTGCTAAGCAATGTGGCTTCCTTGGAGAGCCTTGTCGAACTGTGTTAAAGACGATTTGGTATTCGTTGAAGTGTGTTCCCTTGCTATTAGGAGCACCATATGTTTTCTGTCCACGTCTTCTCTCCCGTTTCTGATGTTGGAAGATTTTGGATGATGAGCACAAGCTTCCAAATTTAGATATGCACTTGACGCTGACATTTAGTTGGTTTGAAATGCCTTACTCCTATTATTCGTTCCTTACTTGCAGCAGCGTGTTATCGAATTAGAAGCACATTGTGTAAGCTATATCGTTTTGAGAAGTTGAGCATGAAACATTTTTGTGAAGAGAATGCTTGATGTAATTATAGAAATTGTTATGGTGTGGTGTGGTGCTGAAATTTTCTTGAATCTTTGATCTTTCTTTAAGAGGGGCCTCTTATGTTTTTTGTTTTAGAAACACTTAACTGTGCTATAAGAATGCTAGTGGACTGATTTTTACGGTGCTTGAATTGGCCTCAATTTTTTTACCTTTTAACTGAGGTTCTTCAATGAGTAAAATTGTACAAATGGTAAATCAATGTATATGTTGGAAAATTTTGACTTGAAATTCATTGTCTTTGCATGTTGATTTTAAGCCCGTAATCTGTGCTGTAAATATATTGCCTCACAGTGAACATATCAAATAAACTTTAGCTCATAAGTTTTCTTTTGCAGTTTAATTTTTCTCCATCCTACTTCCTCCCCTACTTCCTCGTTTTTTTTTTGTTTGGAAAATTTACAGTTCTTACCTTTATACAGCGTTCCAATAGCAGCAAGAAGCGGATATACGTCGTGACATAGGTAGTAAGTTGTAGATGTAAAAAGAGAACAAGTACTTCTTCTGCACTAATTATTACCCTTTATTTCGCTGAAATAAAGTTTCTTTTAAGGGGAAAGGAAACGCAGCATAAATGTTTTCTTTGTTTATGGGTTTTTTAAATCGGAAAGTACGTTAAAAGTACTCAGAATTGCACTGTTTTTCCTCATTCATAGTAAGAGGCGACCTCGATCTTAAAAGCTAGTTTGTTTCTTCGGGAAACGCTTTGCTGTAACGGTGTGGTTAAGCATAATTGTCGTTTGTCAATTGGGGAACACCTGTAATACCCTAAAGTTGTTTCTGGATGCCAAATAGTAAGTCGGTAAAACATATGAAGACTAAACTTTTAGTATCCGAATCCACAAAATGTGTGAGAGTACTGGATTTTAAAACTGTATCTTCGCTACTTTGTTGGTTACGGTTTTTTGCTCTGGTTAGAATTTAGCTATACATATTAGTTCAGGTAGCTTGGTTTTCCTAAAATTTCCAGCAAAGGTAATGACAAAACAGTGAAGCCGTTATGGCATTTCAAAATTTTCTCTTAGAAATTGTTCTATTATCTTGATGATGAAGTTTATATGCCTACATAAAGTTCTCTGTCCATTGGTAGTAACTAGTTTGCGTCGAGTATCTGCCACAATAAATGGCTTTTTTGCCGTGGAAGCAGTACTGAAGCAAACGTTATCTATACACGCGCTTAATTTTTAGTAAACAGATAACTGGTACCATTAGAGTTTGATGACGTAAAACGGAGAAAAAAAA